CAATCCCAGCACTTTGGGAGGCTGAGGTGGGCAGATCACGAGGTCAGGAGATTGAGACCATCCTTGCCAACATGGTGAAACTCCATCTCCACTAAAAACACAAAAAAATTAGGTGGGCGTGGTGGTGCACTTCTGTAGTCCTAGTTAATCAGGAGGCTGAGGCAGGAGAATTGCTTGAACTCAGGAGGAAGAGATTGCAGTGAGCTGAGATCATGTCACTGCAGTATAGCCTGGGATTACAGGTGCATGCCTCCAGCCCTGGCTAATTTTTGTATTTTAGCAGACATGGCATTTCGCCATGTTAGCCAGGCTTGTCTCCAACTCCTGACCTCAGGTGATCCACCCACCTCGGCCTCCCAAAGTGCTTTAGTTGCAGGTGTGAGCCACTGTGCTCAGCCTGATTTTTTTTCAAGTATTTAAAAATATAAAACCACTAAACATTCTTGTGCAGCTCATGGGCTGTCTAAAAACAGATGGTGGGATCTCTGTGTCTCCCGTGTAGATACTATATGCTATGATTTTCAGAGCCCTGGCTAGATGAGACAGAGGGTCTCTCTGTTGGCCAGGCTGGTGGAGTGGTGTGATCTCAGCTCACTGCAACCTCCGCCTCCCAGGTTCAAACAATTCTCGTGCCTCAGCCTCCCTAGTAGCTGGGACCACAGGCACTACCACAGCCAGCTAATTTTTTGTATTTTTCGTACAGATGGGGTTTCACTACATTGGCCAGGTACTCTCAAGCTCCTGGCTTCAAGTGATCCACCTATCTCATCTTCCCAAAGTGCTGGGATCACAGGCATGAGCCCTGGCTAGGTACATTTAAGGTATATGGCATATGGAGGCTGAGGTGCGAGGATCACTTGAGTCCAGGAGAGCAAGGCTATCCTGGGTAACATACCACCCAGAGAGATCCTATCTGCACAAAAATTATGTTTAATTAACTGGGCATGTTGTTAGTGCACACCTGTAGTACTAACTTCTTCAGAGGCTGAGGCAGGAGGATCGCTTGAGCTGATAATTCAAGCTGTGATCACGCCTCTGAATTCCAGCTCTGAGACACAGCAAGACCCTCTTTCTAAAAATTGTAAAAACTGTTCTGTTTTCTTGAGATAGAGTCTTGGTAAATCACAGAGGCTGGAGTGCAGTGGTGCAATCTGAGTTCACTGCAACCTCCGCCTCCTGGGTTCAAACACTTCTCCAGCCTCAGCCTCCTCAGGAGCTGGGATTGCAGACGTATGCCACTGGGTCTGGCTCATTTTTGTATTTTTAGTAGACACCAGGTTTCACCATGTTGGCCAGGCTGGTCTCCAACTCCTGACCTCAAATAATCTATCCATCTCCGCCTCTCAAACTGCTGAGATTACAGGTGTAAGCCACTGTGCCTGGCCTTGTGAAAAATGTCAGTGGCACTTTGATTATAATTGAATACTTGAAAAAAACCCAATGCACATGCGTATGATAGTTTTTGCCAGGACTAGGAACCAGGACCTTTTCTAATGCCTTAACCTTGTATTCCAGGACCTTGCAAAAAATAGGCGCTTAGCAAGTGAAATAGAAGCCACTCAGACAGTGCTTGATGTGCCGTGCATACACGTCATCATTAGGAAGAAAGAGATGGAGAGAGGAAGAACATAGAAAATTCAGGACAATTGATTAGTTTGACACCATCATTGCTAAAAATCAGAGACCAGACTATGCACGTTGGCTCATGCCTGTAATTTCAGCCCTTTAGGAGGCTGAGGCAGGTAGATCACTTGAGTTGAGGAGTTTGAGACCAGCCTGGCCAACATAGCAAAACCTCTTTTCTACTGAAAATACAAAAGTTAGCCAGGAATGGTATGGCAGGTGCCTGTAATCCCAGCTACTAAGGAGGCTGAGGCAGGAGAATCGCTTGAACGAGGACGTGTAAGTTGCAGTTAGACGAGGTTACACCACAGCATTCCAGCCTGAGGGAAAGAGCAACACTCCACCTCAAAAAAAAAAAAAAAAAAATTCAGAGAAGACCAAGATATCCGCAGATAACACACCGTGTCACTTTCCCTGTACTCTTTTCCGGCCTCTTGGTAGACAGCTCCTAACATCACCATGAGATTCTGGTGAAGGAGGGGTGGATACTGCGGTTGCTACAGCTTAATTAACCATTTTTCCCCAGAGAGAGATGATCATCATCTGTCAGATTCCTTTGAATGTTTTTCCAACCCCTGCTGTGGGCGGTTTACCCTCAGGGCACTTCCCCATGCAGCCACCAGGCGGCGCCATTGCTGCATAAATGAAACAAACTGACCCAAGAGTAGAAAATAGCGTTCTATTTTCTTTGAGCTGGGTGGGGTGGGTCAAACCCGTAATCCCAGTACCTAGGGAGGCAGAGGTGGGTAGATCACTTGAGGCCAGGAGTTCGAGACCAGCCTGGCAACATGGTGAAACCCTGTCTGTACTAAAAATACAAAAAGTAGCCAGGCATAGTGACGCACGCCTGTAATCCCAGCTACTCAGGAGGCTGAGACAGGAGAATTGGTTGGGAAGCAGAGGTTTCAGTGAGCCAGAATCGTGGCACTGCACTCCAGCCTGGGTAACAGAGCGAGACTCCATCTCAAAAAAAAAAAAAAAAAGTATTCCTAAGGACTGAGAGGAGAAGCTGAGGCATGCAGACTGCAGTTGGGGTGGGGCTTGGGGAGAGAATGGGGTCAAGTAACCTGTGAAGGACTCTCAGAAAGTCACAGCAACTTGAAAATCATGTATTCTACCTTCCACTTCCACATTTTCCAGATATAGAAATGAAAGCTGAGAAGGGGAAGATAACTATCCCAAAAGCACCACGTTGGTGGGGAGCAGGGTTGCCAGAGAAAACACAGGAAATCCAGTGAAGTGTGAGTTTCGGACTCTCAGTGTATGTCCCAAATAATGCACGAGACTTAGACTAAAACCTTCTTCACTCTTTGTCTGCAAATGTAACTGGGCATCTGTGTGATGATTTGCTAAGTCTGACAACCCTCATGAGGGTAAAATGAAGATTAGGAAAATAATTAAATGTAATAAGCAAACATGCAAAATGAGGACAACTCTGTTCCCATTTTGAGACAAGGGAATTGGACTTCAGGGAGGGGACTTGCCCCAAGATGGCACTCACAAGCAATAGAGATAGGATTTCAACCCGGTCCTGATTCCAGAGGTCTCAACTTCACTGTTGTGGCCAGGAACACACCCCAGTCCTACTCGTGTGTGTGCATGTTCTGCCTTGAATGTAACCCTCTCCCCATCATGTAAGTGTGCCATTTCCCTCCCTGATATTGAAGGACCCCATCTTCAGCAGGCACCTCCTGACCCAGCAGACCCCATGAGCCCAGATCCGTGGGACCTGGTGGCTGTCCTTATCACATTCTCTGACTCCCCGTATTAGGACCCAAGTCTGACCCCCTTAAGGATTTGTAGCTGTGTTACAGGAAAGGGGACCCGATCCAGACCCGAAGGGAGGGTTCTTGGATTTCATGGAAGAAACAACTCAGGGTGAGTCCGTAAAGTGAAAGCTACATTTATTTGTGTTTGTTTGGTTGGTTGTTTTTTGTTTCCTGTTTTGAGATGCAGTCTCACCCTGTTGCCCAGGCTAGATAGAGGGCAGTGGTGTGATCTCGGCTCACTACAACCTACGCCTCACAGGTTCAAGTGATTTTCCTGCTTCAGCCTCCTGAGTAGCTGGGATCACAGGTGCTCACCACCACACCTGGCTAATTTGTATATTTTTAGTAGAGACGGATTTCACCATGTTGGCCAGGCTGTCCTCGAATTCTTGACCTCAGGTGATCTGCCTGCCTCAGCCTCCCAAAGTGCTGTGATTACAGGTGTGAGCCAGAGAGCAAGTTTATTCTTTCCTAAATAAGCAAGTTTTTTAGGAAAGTAAAGATAGAATAGAGAGCAAGTTTATTCTTTGCTAAAAAGCCAGTTTTTAAAGAAAGTAAAAATGGAATGGCTACTCCATAGAGCAGCCCAGAGGGCGCTGTTGCCTGTCTGGGCCATTTCTTCATAACATGTTGAACGGAGCGGTAAATTATTCACGACTCTCCTTTTTTAGATCATATTTAGCAACTTTCTGATGTTGCCATGGCATTTGTAAGCTATCATGGCACAGGTGGCAACGTAGCAGTGATGACAACCAGAGGTCACTCTCCTGGGCATCTTGGTTTTGGACTGGCTTCTTTACTGCAGGCTGTTTTGTCGGTAAGGTCTCTGTGACCTGTATCCTGTGCTGACCTCTTATTTCATCCTGTGACTTAGAATGCCTTCACCAACTGGGAATGCAGCCCAGTAGGTTTTAGCCTGATTTTACCCAGCTCCTATTGAAGACGGAGTTGCTGTGGTTCACATGCCCCTGGCATCTGGGTTCCTTGGGATCTCCTGACGTTCTTTCCCCTCTGTCCCCAGCCCCGGGGCCCCTCCGCCCTCACTGCCATCGCTGTCTTACTGAGCCTCCTCTCTCTGAATTTCTTCATGAGCAAGAAGAGGAATCATCATCAGGTTCAGCTTTTGGGAAAGGGAAGGACCAGGCAGGAAGTAGGGAGGAAGACACAGGCCCTGGTGTGGCTGATAGGGAGGGAAGAACTGAGTGGGAGATGGCAGGTCTGGCTTTGTTCTTGTCTCTGTGAGTTGTCCATTGTGCAGGCCTGCCCGGCTCCTTCCCCATAGCAGTAGATGGTGGCTGCACCCTTCCATGTTCATGCCCAAGCCCTGGGTCAGATCAATGCCTTTTTGTTCTGCACCCCATCAGTCAGCAGATTTGCTTGGTGTCACCTTGTAAATGCATCCAGTAGGCAGGCCCTGGCTCACTCCCTACTTCTCTCCCTGCCTTTCTCCACTTCCAGCCACAGGAGACCTGTGTGAGCCGAATCCACTGCACCCTCCTCTGCTCAGACCCACAGCGGCCCCATTTTCCTCAGCCTGAGCCAAAGGCCCCACAGTGGCCCAGGAGGCCTGCCCTCAGCCGCCTCATTACCTCCAGCCTCACCTTCCACCCAACTCCCTGCCTTCCCCACCTACCCCGTTTCCCATCCTCACACCTGCCTCTCCAGGCTTCTGCTTTAGCTGTTCCCTCTGCCTGGACCACCCTCACTCCAGAAGACCCTTGTCCCCTCCATCACCCCCTGCAGTTAGGGCCGCCTCTCTCACCACCGTCCCGCAAGGACACTGCCTGCACATCCCTCTCCCAGAAGATCCCTTCCTTGGCCTGTCCTGGGTTCCTTTTTGCTTTTCCCCAGCACTTGCCACTTCCTAAAGGGCCCTGCAGGAAGCGCCTGGCAGGGGCCCATGTCCTGGCCCTCTTTAGACTGGAAGCTCCACAGCAGCACAGGCCATTCCCTGTGCATACTCAGTATCTAGTTAGTGCTCGGCATGCAGAAGGTCCTGCATAAGTGTTTGAGAACTGTGGAAGAAACCAGGGAGGGGAGAAGGGAAGGAGAGAGGAAGGGAAGAAGGAAGGGAGGGGAGAAAGGAGGGAGGCGAGGAGTGAAAAAGAGGGAGGGAAGGAAAGATAGGAAATGGGAGGACAGATGGAGGGAAGGAAAGAGTTGAGGGAGGAAGAGAAGGAATGAGGGAGGGAAGGAAGAAAGAAAGGATAGGACAGAAGAAGAAAGGAAAGAAATGTGGAAGCGAGGGAGGGAGGGAAGGGGGATGGAGAGGAGGAACTTATTTCCTCTCTAGGCCCAGCTGTCCCAATGTCCATTGTTACTTGGACCGTTTCTCCAGCCTACTGCATGGCCTCCTCTGGGCACGGTGGCTCACGCCTGTAATCCCAGCACTTTGGGAGGTCGAGGCAGGTGGCTCACCTGAGATCAGGAGTTCAAAACCAGCCTGG